CAGGGGCTCTGGGTGTCCCATCTCCCTGTTCCCGGTGCCATGTGCAGCTCCCAGGGGCTCTGGGTGCCCCATCTCCCCGTGCCCTGTCAATGTGCAGCTCACAGCAACAAGTGTTCCCTCTCCAGACTCCCACAGCGACGCTGCCTATTCCCAAGCGCCACCTGATGGCATCACCGCCAGGAAGGATTTGTTCGGCAGCGTTTATACCGGCACAGACGCGAGAATCACCTCCGACAGCAGGGAGGGTGGAAATGGGAAACGGGGACGCTGAGAGCAGCCCTGGCTCAGGACCCTGCCCTGTGTCCATCCCCGGGATGGGGCAGAGCAAAGCCGAGCTCAGGGGATGCACACCACGGCTCCCCTCTTCTTCTCAAGCCCATCAAAGTTCTTCCAAGCTACCCAGGAGGCAGGGAGATCCTGCTAGCCCTGGCTGGAGGATCCCCACAACTCCCCCCTTTTTAATTCTCCTGGATGTGCCTGAGAAGACAGCTCTGTGTTTATAAACGTGAGAAGGAATCGCACAGAAATCCCGGGAGCAGCAAGTCCCGACACCTCCCACACGGCAACGCGAGAGAAGCCACTTTCCTCTGCCACCAGGCTTTGTCACACCAGTGTCACCCCCACCTCCCTCTGCCTCCCCAGAGGTGCCACCCAGACGTTTGGGGGGGACCCTCTGTCTGCAACAGCCACGCAGAGGTCGGACACACTCCAGCCAAAGGAGAGGGTCTCCCCTGAACCAGCAAACACAACCAGGGCTCACACAACCAGCAACAGTGCCTGGAAGAGACATCCTTGGGCCAGGCCTCCCCCTCCCCTCTCCCCAGACCAGTTCAGGGCAGGGGACATGGGTGAGATTAACACAGGGCTGGGTCAGGGTCGCCTTTGAGCACAAAGCCCTCGGAGGGGGGAGCTTAACTCTGCCACGGCCCTGCTCCACCGCTCCCCCCTGCCCTCCCCTCCCTCCGCTGGGAGCGCCGGGCGCCTGACACTTGTCAGGGAAAAGCGGCGGTTCGGGGGAGCCCCCGGCTGCCTCCTGCGAGCTGAGCGGGGCAGTGCCGGCTCCCCAGGGATGGTTCTTGCCAGCCGGGATCCCCGCACAGCCTCTGGCATGAGCCAACCTGCCCGTGCCCCGGCTCCCGAGCCCACCTACCCCGCGGGGACCACCCTGTCCCCAGGTCCCGCTTAAACCTCCTCTCCCGGTTTTAGCGGGGAGCACCAGGACCCCCAAGGCGGAGGCACCGGGATGGAGAGGCTGCGGCGAAGCGTTTGTGCTGGGAGGGATGGGGAGAGGACGCAGGGGGGGGGGGGGGGGCGGGGGGGGGGGGGGGGGGGGGGGGGGGGGGGGGGGGGGGGGGGGGGGGATGAATCATTTCGAGCGAGCCAGATTTCCATATTCCCCCTGCTGGAAAATTAAAGTCTGCTCCGAGTTTGCATCCCAAATGTGATTGCTTTCGGATCCCTGCCTTGGAAAGCACGTACCTCTCTCAGCAGCCGGCCCTGCCGGGATCAGTGTCCATGCTGTCTACCTGTCAGCAGGCTCTTCCTTCTGTTCACGCTGAGCATCATATTTGCTTTGAACACCGAGGTAGTTAAAAGCTGCAACTTAAGGACTCGGGGAGGGGGGGGGGTGGAGGTGGACGGACTCACTGAGCATGAAAAGCAGCCATTGGCTCTGCCTCGCCGGCTGCTCTGCCACTGGGCCGGGCTGAACATGTGTCATCCTTCCCCTCGGCTCCCCTCATTTCCCCGGCGCTGTCCTTGCCCGGGAGGGCGGGGGCAGGAGGTGCCGGACCCCCCTCCCTCCCTCCCTCCCTCCCTCCCGGCCCGGAGCGCACCCGCCCCGGGCAGATGCGGACGCCGCTCCCGACGCTCCGCTCCCTCCCCGGGGCCGCGCGGCATATGGTGCCTGATTTTTTAATTTCCTCGGGACGGCGGCTCGTATGGCGACTGGCAGGTTTCTCACCGCCTTCTGATTAACCCCCGGTAGGTCCCGACGTGCCAACTGGCCGTATGGGCTGAACAAAGCGCTTCCCGATCCCGCCGCTCCCGACTTCCTTCTCATTAACGGGGAGCGATCTTCGCTTGAGCCCCGGCCAGGAGAGCAGGGGCCGTGTCCTGCCCGCCTTTAAAGATGCCTCTCCCCGCGTGGTGTTTGTTCCCAGGAAAAGGAAGCCGGCTGTAAGCCTTCTTCAAACCCTGCCTACCTGTTACCTGTCGGCCCCGTGCGGGATCGATCTTGCCGGGTGAAAGCTGAACGTCTAAAGCGGTGGCAGCGGGAGAATCCAGCGTTTGTGCAGGGCTGCTCTCCCAGGCTCTCTGCAAACACCAGAGGAGCCGCCGAGTTTCGCTCAAGTCCCGCTGGGAAAGCTCCCCCTGCAACCAAAACCACTTTTCCTGCAAAATTTGAGGTCCTTTATAACACGAGAAATGCGTCCAGCCCCGTGTGATTACAAGGAGCCACGCCGTGTCTCTTGGGTACCACCATTTCCAGGCACACGTATTGTGCTTTGCAGGTTTGCTCACTCGGCTGCATTAATTCCCGATTCCTCCCGGGAACGGCTTTCACTCCGCAGACTGTTCAAGCTGAGGCTGGGTCAGGGATTGTGTGAGCACAAATGGGACACGAGCAGCCTGGTTGTGTCTTCTGAAAGGTTTCTGCCGTGTGTGGTGTTGGCTGTGACAGCAGGGACGTCACTTCTGTGCAGAGTCTCCACAGGATCAGGGATGGGGAGCCCCTTTCCTGGTTGTGGGGAAGCAGCTGCCGCCTCAGTGAGGGTGTGAGGGCACTTCCCACCTCTGATCCTGCTCTGCCACCCCACTGCAGCACTGCCATGGCACTCTGCTCCTCTCCCTGGCATTAGAGGGAACAATCCCGGTGTGTTTTGCACGTGGAAAATGGATTTGCCATCTTCGTGGACTTTGGTTTTTAATAAAAGCAAAAACTTCCAAAAACATCATCACTTTACACCACCACTGTTACAAAACTAAGCTCAGCAAACACCCATTCACCTCTGTTTGGGCAGAGGGGATCCTTAGGATGGCAGAGAACTCCTTCTATGTGTTTTATTCCTCATTAGACCCCGAGGCTGCAGGAGCATCCCATTCTCTGTGTGGTAACTGAGGACTTTGCCATTTGTTTGATGCACAGGATGAAGATTTCGGCAGCACCTCTGGACCTGGGGGACTGCTGCCTGGAGTTAAACACCTTGGTGACCTGGCAAAGCCCCAGGAACACAGAGAACTGCTGACAAATGGGAATTTCTGGTGTTGCTGCCGAGGGGGAGGTCACCCCAGCACTTGGATGAGCAGGGTGGTGAGTTCCTGCAAGGCTGGAGTGTGTGTGTGTGGGGGAAATGTGATGTTCACGGGATCAGGGATGTGGTCAGGCTGTGTTTGCTGCTGGACAGGCAGAGGTGAGCAGAACATCCCTTCCTTGCAAGCTGCAGGAGAGCTCGGCCGCAGTTAATGTTGAGGCTGAAAACTGTTTGGAAAAGAGGGGTTACATCCTCTAAAATACACATTCTGAGCTGGATTTCTATAGCACTTGCTGAGCTCCACGGAGGGCAGGAAGGAGGGACAGTTAATCCGTCCTTGGGGATGTTTCAGCTGCCCTAAATCCCAGTGCTCTCACAAAGGCCCACCTGGTTCCTGTAGCAGCATGTGGGGAAAGAAAGCTCTGCCAGGTTTTTAAGTGGTTTCTCCAAAATCCACCTGCCAGCAGGGGCAGGAGGCTGTTTGTGGAGAAACGAGACGTCGCCTGAGAATTGCAAGAGAGGGATCATTTGTCTTAAAAACGTTTAATGTGAAGTGTAACAGTTGTGGCCTGGGAGAAAACTGCGGGTGTTTCATCCTGATCCTGCACAAAACCCAGCCAGAACAGCTTTAATGGCTTTAAGCTGAAGGAAGGGAGGTTTAGGTGAGATATTGGGAAGGAATTCTTCCTTGGGAGGGTGGGGAGGCCCTGGCACAGGTTGCCCAGAGAAGCTGTGGCTGCCCCATCCCTGGAAGTGTCCAAGGCCATGTTGGAGCAACCTGGGACAGTGGAACCATGACAGGGGGTGGCACTGGGTGGTCTCCAAGGTCTCTTCCAACCCAAACTATTTGAGGATTCTGTGATTCTATGAAAACCTCTCTGTCCTAGCAGGAGATCTGTGCGAAAGCTGATGGTTTTTTAATGGAGTATTGGAGATCAGGGATCTCCCAGAGTGCAGCAGAAGTGCCTTTCCCAGCGTTTCAGACTGTGCTGGTGGCAGAAGCAGGACAGGGACCCCCCCAGGGCTGTGATCCCCCTCCCTGCAGCATTTCCCAGCCAGGGAAGGCTGCCTGGTGAAGTGACAAGGTGCCTGGTGCTTCCCACCGTGCACTCGAGGCTGTTCCACTCCTTCCCCACCCCACCTGCCTGCACAGGCAGCCTTTGGAGGGGACCCAGGAGTGGCGGTGCTGTCCCCCGGCAGAACTGGTTCGGCAGCTCTGGCCCCCGGGGCTGAGCTCTGCAGGCACTGGTGTGAGCACAGGCGGGCTGGGAGCGCTGGGAGGACTGGGTTTGAACAGACCATGGGGTGCTTTAACTCCTCCTCAGCCCCGGGGACAGCCCGTGCTTATCCCCCGGGATGTGCAGCAGCACCCGGGCAGTGCCAGGGCTGAGCAGAGGGATGCCCCAGTCGCCGGAGCGAGCAGAGAGGGCAGCATGGCCCGGGTTCTGCGTCTCTCCGGGTTTCCCGGGAGCAGCCCGGCGTTTCCCAGGCAGTCGTTTCTCCAGAGGACCACGAGGTGGAAGCATTTTCCAAAAACTGCCGCGATCGCCTCGGAACCCGGGGACAGCCTGCCTTGTGCTTGGAGTAGGGGGACAGGACAGCCAAGGAGCTGAGGGCTGGAGAAAAGAGCCGGGAAGGGATCAAAGAGGGACACGGGGCACAAGGGGAAAAGCCCCTTCTCCAGGAAAAGGCTCCTGCAATTATCCATGATGCTGACTGCCCACTACTCAGGGAAAAAAGCCTTGTATCCTGCTCCCCAGAGCAGGAATGCAGGAGCACAGCCTGCACGGGGCCATGCTCTGGGCCCCCCCAGCCTGCTCCATGCAGAGAGGTTGCCTGGAGTCACTTGTATCATTTCTGGACCCCAGATGATGTGCCCAAACATCCCGGAGAGATCATAAAACCATGGAATATCCTGCGTTGGAAAGGGCCCACAAGGATCATCGAGTCCAACTCCTTGACACCCCAAAATCCCACCCTGTCCCTGAGAGCGTTGTCCAAACCCTCCTGGAGCTCTGGCAGCCTTGGTGCTGTGCCCACTGCCCTGGGGAGCCTGGGCAGTGCCCAACCACCCTCTGGGGGAAGAACCTTGTCCTGAGATCCAACCTGACCCTCCTCTGGCACGGCTCCAAATGACTGGGCTCCTCTTTTCC